TTTTTTTTTTTTTTTTTTTTTTTTTTTTGGTGGTACTGGGGAACTGAACTCAGGACCTTGCACTTGTTATTTTCCTTTATCAGTACGTGTTTGTAGAACATAGACATAATGACTACATTCATTACAGGGAGCTATTACATATAGGAAACATATCTTAATTCTTTTTTAAATCCCTCTCCCTTCCAAAATCCAGACTTCTGAGGTGAGTTGTTGGATAGATGAAGTTACTATTTGTGGAACCAGAATGCACAAAGAAGAGTGTGGGATGGTGCCAAAGGCACCATTAAGGCATTAAGGTATTTGGCAAAAGTCTGTGGAGCACCACATTCAATCTTTGGCATAAGATTGAAAGAGACACAGATTCTGCCCTTGGTGGGCTTATGTTTTGAGAGGGTACTAAAGACATATTTATATCGAAGTGGTAACTAGTACTATGAAAAAATGAGTGAATGAGGCTGCTTTTGGGGTGCTGTCCAGAGATACCATCTGATCTCCAGAGCAGTTCTGTGGGAGAGCCTTTGCCTAGCTTGCTGGGTCACCCCCAGACCCTCACCTCCATGTGAGGTGCCATCTGAACAGAGTGCCCACTGAGTGGACCAGCAGCAAAGTATTCTTAGTACTGCATTTTCTGAAAAGCAAATGGAAAGGTGCTGAGGCAGCAGATGGGACCAGGAGGAGCAACCACGGATTGTGTGGGTAGAGCTCAGTGAGGAAGAGATTCAGTGCCCAAAGATTAAAAAAAAAAAAAAAAAAATCACCTCTAGAGGCCAGTGGCTGAGTCGGAGAAACCTATTATGTATTACCATATACCAAGCAGGCATTTAAAAAAAATATAAATCTAGAGCTCAGGACCAGAAGTACAGCTTTAGATAAAGAAAGGGACCAGCTAGCGTGAACAGGGTACTTAGTGGGAAAACTATACAAGGAGATGGGAATGACCTGATTAAATGAGAAAACACTGTGTGGAAGGATGGAATCCTGAAGACACTGATGGACCTGGGGGCAGGGGGCAGGAGGACCCAGAGGAGGGACTGCAGAACTCAGGGAGGAAGGAGGGGAGGAGAGTCACAGGGCAAGGGATGTGTCAGTTTCAAACTATCCAAAGGCAGCAAAGATAGGTAGTGAGATTCAGTATTTGAAACTCTGTAAATGGAAAACTCTTAAGTATTACGCTTACTATTCATGGTGACTAGAGAACACATTCCCCCTTGTCTAATGGATATTTTAACTTAAAGGTAATGAGAATTTAATTATATAGTCTCTTTATCCCCATTTCTTAGTAGGTGGTTGATTTCCCACATATGCAAGCTATAGTGAATGTTGTAACCACCCGACGGCAACACACTGATGTCGAGAATAGGATGTACAATCCTGATAGAATCTGATTTGTGGAATTGTACATTTAACTTGTACTTCAATATGGATAATACTATCTTAGAGTTCTACTGGGTTTTAGTCAAAAGGTTAGAGTAACAAACCTCCATAAAAGATTTGTGCCAGATAGTTCTTCCACCTGCCTCTAAGAAAGCCTTAACATAATCAGAATTCAATCCAGGCACAGTGGTGCTCATCTTTAATCCCAGCATCTGGGAAGCTGAGGCAGGAGGATCACCATGAATTCGAGATCTGCTTGGGCTACAAAGTGAGTTCAAGGCCA